AACAAAAGCGAGTCATTAAGTGTGGAGATTCCTTATTGGTTGACTGATGTATCTAGTTTATGCTAATTAAGATAAGCTGTGCGAAATGTATAAATAGCTCTGTTGTCCTACAATAAATGGCTTCCACTCCTGCTGTATCAATGTACACAAGTTATTCGTCACCCCCCAGTTATTTTGCCCAGCCAGCCGGGCTGTGGCATTGATGGAATTCACAGGGCTAAGCCAAAGATAAAATGAGATGAGAATATTCAAGAGCAAGAACACTAGAAAAGCTGGTTCACGAGGAAGGGTCTTTGGAAACCAGTACCCACAAGAAGAGTGTCAATATATTGTAGTTAAACAAATAGGTTGACTGTGGGTAACTGTCTGAATCTTGGTGCATAACACTGGAAAATGTATGGCATACTTTAGAATTACCTCACCACAGAGGTATGCAGGCTATGTATTTATACACTAACTTTTATATGGTCTTATTCAAGGGATGCATTTGCAGGAAAAAACTTCCTGGCATCTTAGGCCTGCAGATATCTTAGCAAAGGCACATATCCAGAGCCAGAGAAAACCCTATCAAAGAGTGTTGTCACTAAGTGCAATAAGGACTTGTCTGAAGGCAAGAATCTAGCCCTAATGGGATTTGGGATATGTGTATAAAACATGTACAGCTTATAAAAATCTTGCTCAGCCCAAGGGGAAAAGATTACTAGAGTATTGTAAGTTTTAATGTTTACTTTCTCCATTTGTATTATAATTACCCCATCCCAAGAGGAATAGCGCCTATGCTAAATTTTGTTTAATTGTATTTTTGCCTTTAAAAAAAGAGTGTTTCTCCAACAAGGGTATCTATAAAAATTACATGGGTTAGATTTTTCTTTTTTGGATACATAAATGGATGGATACTGCATGCATGCTTCTGCAGTTTTCCTGCTCATTTTATATTGCCTTTCACAAATATGTATTTATGCTTGCAACTGGATTTTATTTATTTTTCTCAGCTTTATACTATTTCATTAAATAAACACATGGCATTTAATCAGTTCTCTGCTAAATATTTTTTTGTATGTCTTAGAAAACATAAAAGTGTGGATGTCACCATTTTGTTGGGATAGGTTAGGGATGCAATCCCATGTTGCCCTGAGTGATGGAAAAAGGAAAAGAAAATATGGAAGGAATATAAACAAATAAGTTTTGGGCAATATGATGAATGTCAAAACTTCAAGAAAAAATTCATGGAGGATGTCTCTAACCTGGTTGAAAGTCTCCACCATACATGAGAATGCTCTAGAAAGAACAACTAATGTGTCAGAGCTCCTCCTCATTAAATTTACCAATTTTTTAACTTACCTCACAATATACTAACTTCTAGCATTTCTGTATTGAGTCCCTATTTTAGAAAAAGAGTTGCTGAGGACAATCGATTTTCATTCTCTAAAGGCAAGTATTCATAGAAGTCCTCAAGTGGAGAGAGAGCCCAGAATCTCCACAGACTCTCTCAGGTTGAACTTTAATACTGAGATTTTATATAATTTATTAAGTAAATACTTGTAGCAAGTTGTCAATAGGCAACTTTTCAGAAGTTAAGGAACTTTCTGGGTAATTTTAGTTTTCTCAAGTACAACGTCAATATCATTGTTTTATTGCTGTTTTGGGATATCATATACTTTTTCTCATTTAATGTGATGAATTATATCATTCCATTATTGTCTATTGAGTCAACTCTACATTTTTGACATAAACAATTTGGATATGATATATTATCACTTTGGGGAATGACTGTATTTGATAGCTTAAATTTTACAATTGCTTTCATGTTCATGAGTGGAATTAGTTTGAAACTTTTTTATTGTATTTTTGTTATCTTATTTGGTGTCAAATTATATTAATCTCGTAATAATGACTTGGTATATTTTTTCCATGACTAGAAAATTTGGTAAAACTGTTAAATTTAAGATTCAGTATTATATTGTGCTGAGATTCTCTAACAACTGAGTTAACTGATTTAATAGATGTGAGTCTACTTTATTTTATATTATTTCTTAAAATAAATTTGGTGAATTGTATAGTCACATTTTCATTTAAGCTTTTTTATGGAAACTTCAAATTTAATTGATCTTTATATCTTTTGTAGTTATGAAGCCACTTTATTTCTAATATAATTTAGTTCTTCTTTCTGTTTTTCATATTGATAATGTAAAGTTTCCTTTGGAAAGCTCATTTTTTCACTATTTGGCATTTTTATTTTTTTGTTTGTCATTAGCTTCTGAATTTATTTTTGTCACTTTCTACTACTTTTACTTTGTCCTGGTGGAAAGAAGGACTTAATTAGGCTATCCATTTAAAAATTTCAAAAAATATGTTTTCTTTATTTTTTATGAATATTTTATCCTTTATTATCCAGTGTTTTAAAACAACACATTTTTTTCCTCACATCTGTCTCAGGTATATCCGACAAAACTCAATCATAGTATTCTTAAAGGTTAGTTCAAATTTAATTTCAAATGTATGTTATTCTTATTATAATTATGGTTTTCATATGTAAATTCTGATATGTGTTTAGCGCCATTATTTTTTAAAACTTCCATTTTAATGTTATGTAACCAAATAATGTGCTCTCTATGACATCAGTAATTTGAATTTACAGTTGAAACTGTTTTTTTGAAATATAATGATATATATATGCCATTTATAAAAATGTTAATACATATATAGAATTACCCAATAGTTCATTGTACTATTTTATGAAGTTCATTAGTTACAATATTGAACCTACCTCAATTTTTTTCTTTTTTCTGTGCTGGGTCTTGAACCTAGGACCTCATACATGCTAGGCAACCACAGTACTATTTAGCTGTATCCCCAGCATTTTATTCATCTTTAATCAGCCTGTTCAATCAGTCATTGAAGAACTATGCAAATATCTATTATAATGGCAGAGGATATAATTCTATCTTATAATTGTATCAATTTTTCTTTATATATTAAATGTTATTATATATATAGAACTTAGAATTATTGTATCAACTCACATATTGAATGCTTTATAATTAAGTAAGTCCTCTATTACTCTTTAGTTACAGTTTTTTGCCACAAGTCAGTTTTCTCAGAGGTTAATCCAGAGTTTTCACTTTCTTAATTGTTGCGTGGTCTTTATTAATACATTGACTTTCAATTGCTCTATATTCTTAAGTTTTATGTATGTCAAGTCTCCCTTTGTTTAACTGAAATATTTATCCCATTTACATTAGTTTTGATTATTGATATATTTCATTTAAACTGCATGAAATTACTACATATTTCCCATATGCCTTGTTTCTATGTTTCTTTTTATACCTCCTCTCAACTTTGATCACTTTTAGTCTAATTTAATATGTTTTTCTCATTCAACATTTTTTTGTTTTGTTTTGTTTCACTTTTTGGAAGTTTCTCAGTCTTTTTAAATTGATAGTTATTTGAAAGTCATACATAACCAAGTTTTAAATTAATTTACCTATACCACAAGTATTAGCATTCTCTAGAGGAACAGAAATAATAGGATATGTAATGCAGGTAACTCACATTGGCAAGAAATCTATTTCACTCAATGTACCATTTCAAATATCAGTCACTTACAAGGTCACTTTCACTGAGATGCTAGAATAAAATTTAATCAACTTTCTCAATTCTTAGTGTCCCAATTGAATTGACACATAAAATTAGCCATCTTAGTACTTCTACCTGAAGTACTGAGTCTTGGGATACTTTATCTAGAATTAAGCAGCTCTAAAGAAATATGTACTCTTGTCCATAATTTATTTATATTATTTTATTGTAAAATCAGATATTGTTCTTATTTTTACTCCTGTATTTACCAATAATGCCATTCATTACTCCTTATCATCTGAGGCTGTTTTCATTTTACTTGTGGTTTGCCTTCTTAAATTTATTTCAGTGATATTCACTTGGTGGCCCACTGTTCTGCTTAGTTTTCTAATTTTTGATACACTTATTTGTATGAAAAATCCTGTTATTTATTTTTTTCTAGATATGTAGATGAAGCTGGTAGGTCTTAACTTTTGTTTCTATTAGTATTGTGTTTTCTCTCAGCATTATAAATCAACCTTCATTTTGATTGTCATTTTGTTCTGACTTATTTCTTCCTTCTCTTTTTTCAGTCTTTAAAATCCTATTAAGAGCAGGAGTAGTGGAATATTCTCATTTTTTGATGATCACTGTCCCAGTGTGAATTTCTTTGCATTTATCTTTCTTCTGTATGTGTGTATTTATGATTTCATGATTTGTGGGCAATTTCAATTTTATATTTTTTCTAGTTATCATATGTTTCCCCCTTTATAATTTCATGTGGGAGCTATGGTTAAACCAACAGAGCCAAATTATTCTGCCCTCCATTCTTTTTAAATTCTCTCTCTCTGCAACCCCCAAATCCTCCTCCAGATAATTTTTACATTGTCTTTGTTGGAGCTAATCTGTCTTTTTAGTTGTTTATATTCACTTTATGTTTTTCTTTTGTAAAGGACTTTTCATATACAGTTATTTTTATGTGTCCCTGTTATTCTTCAGGCACATAAGTATGATTATTTTGTATTCTTTATCTAATAACAATTTTTATGAAAATTTTTCTTTTTTTGACATATCATACATTTGAATCAGATGGAATGTAGTTTCTCATTTTATGAAAAAATTTCTATTGTTTGTTTTTGTTGCTGATTCTCACAGTGCCTTGTTTTTTGTATGAATGTATGTGTGTACATGTGTGTATATTTATATACACACATCTGTGTGTGAGTGTGTGTGTGTGTGTGTGTGTGTGTGTGTGTGTGCATATGTACTTTTTTATGGTGATAGAGTAACATTTTCCATGGAGTGTTATCTTGTAAAATGTTTGGCTCTTGGGTTGAAATTGAGTTCCTTCACCAATATTTATATTTTCACAATGCCATTCCCTTGAGGTTTCTACTGTCACAAGAGCATTTTAAATTAAATTATGGACTTGATAACCTTTTCAGGCTATAAATCATGAACTCAGAAAACAAACTTGTCTGACAGCCCTTCCAGATGATGAATTCTGAGGGATCGTGTTTCCTTCACAATCCACTGCTGTCTGAGACAGGTAACTTTCCAGTTGACTCTTTCTTCAAGGTTGGATTATTGCCCATCCACCTGTCTTCTCTAAATATGACAATTTGATTACTTTTTTAAAAAAAAATTAGGGGTATGCTATTAAACTCTCTTCCTCAATGGTCCCTATTATTTACATCCTATCCTCTTTTCCCTTAGCAACCATTAAAGTAGAATTGTGAGATCTCCATGATTTAACAGAAATCATAAGGATGAACTCTAACTTTGGTATTTATTTATCATTCAGAATTTTAAAATTCAGTTCATATTTTAGCTTCATAGATTTTTATTTTGTAGCACTGTATTTAAAAATAAAGTTTATATTCATTATGTAAAAGTTTACTTTTAAAAGGGTGGGTGTGAGTTTTACCAACCAAGGTCAAATAAGCTAAACTGAAATGCCATCAGTTATTATAGTGGAAAACTTTAATATAGAAATTTGTTAAACAGACTTGAATACAGAGTAGGCAAAATAAGAACACTGAGGCAGCCTGGAGGTGGTTATTACAAAAGGAGCTTTCATGCCTTGGACTGTGAAACAGGAGATGATGGAATTATTAGAACTTAGAAATTTGTAGGAGTGGTCTTAAACTCAGAGTACACATAAGACAGTGTCTGAGGAAGGCAGGGAAAATGGGTTGATCTAGGCCCAAAAGCTCCAAGGAAGGAGTCTAAGGATGCAAAACTTCTAAAAGGCCCCCTAAGGAAAAGGTGCTACAGAGGGAGTACAGCTTAGTTGCTTCTGGTGCATGAGAAGCCTAAGGATGTTCTCTGCAGAGCTAGAAACCAGATTTTTGAGTAAGGACTGCTGTTCAGTTAGTGATGGTATTTTTGAAGGAGGTTAATAAACTTGAGTCTAGAAATATCAGGAAAAAATCTTGAAATCAGACAAAAATCATCACTGCCATTATAAAAAACACTGGCTACGTCAAGCTAATTGAGCAGGGAAAATAAACAGAAAAACATCCTTCTCCTGTTTTGCAGACTTACAGAAGTTCTTTAGTACTTCCTTTCAAGAAAACCTAACAAGGGCCAGTGAAGTTCGAAGAAAGGTATTTGTAGAATCCTAGTCTCAGCCTTCGTGGTTAATTGAAGGTAGGTAATAATAAGCTAATTTTTTCTTCCATCATCATTATTCTCCAAGGATGTGGTCCATCGACAATTTAGAGGACTTTAATTGGACAATAACAGTTAAATATATTACTACAGCAGTGAAATAATTTGGTAAAATATATGTCATATAATTCCCTGGCATTTTAACTTATAGTTCTTTATGGCACTGTTTTTCACTACCACAGTATCGTTTTCTGGCATCTTTGCCAGAAGAGAAATTTAGCCAGTAGTGACGCCTCCTAATAATACACTGCTGAGAGTTGGAAGATTGCTTGCTTCCTCTGTTTCCCCAAGGAGATGGTCAAGAAGGAGTAACTTGCCTTCAGGGTGAATGGCTCACCAGCTGGCTCTCAGTGAATTCAGGGTGGTGTCTACACCACTATCCTATTGGCTGCCATGACTTGATTATGGCTGGCCACAAAGTCATCAGGGGAATTGGAACAAAATCTAACACATTCTCTCCTAAGCAAGCTTTTGCAAATGTGAACCCTGACACAAAAGAACTACTTTTGTAACAAATATTTTATTTCTTAAATAATAAGCTTCTATTTAATATATACAGAAAGGAAATACTTTTTCTACGAGTGTTAACCAAATTTTTACTGTGATCAGATGATGTATCAGTCTATGCATGTCTCCAGGATGGTGTGGTGACGCCAGTAAACTGCAAAGCCAAGCATACTTTTTACTGAACAAAATTTTACTTAATATTTATAAAATGCATCGCCTTCAGGAAAGGAATAGTATTTTTTGTATCCACTTGGATACACTGATGCAGGTGTAGCTTTATATACCTACCAGGAATAGTCATAAAAATTTATGAACAAATTGAAATTTATGGAAACCAATACATACCTTAGCTGCTTACCAACTAAGAGCATTTTAAATAAAGATTAGAAGCAAAAAAATATTTTTGTATTGTAAATTTTTATGGTCTGTGGAAAGCTTTAGATTTTATTTATTTCAAATTAAAGGCAATATCAAAACTGTTTATTATAAATGGAAAATCAGTTGTTTTACATACATTCATAACAAAATCTATTTCAAGCAGATTTTTCTAAATAAAACATTATATTATATTTAAATTTATCTAAATCACATTTCTTTAAATTAAAAATAATTTAGCTTTAATAACAAGAGGATGTTCAAACATCAAGTATGTCTTTGGTGTCAATTTTTTAAATATATGATGTATCAATAACCCAGAGATGAAAAATTGTGCTCTATATGTGTAATATGAATTGTAATGCATCTGTTGTCATATATAACAAGTCAAATTAAAAAAAAAAGATTTTACCAAGAGAAAAAGAAATAATTATTTTTAAAATACTAATGTGAATTTTAAAAATTGTCCTTATGTTTACATACTGTCTTATGCAGGAAGAATTGTTGAAATTCTATCCTTGCATGTGAGCTATAAGAACATAAAGTGAAATTCACATTTAAGTATAAGATTATTATTTGTGTCTTTCCTAATAAATCTCAGTATTTTGAAGATATATATGCCTTTAAAAAAACTTCATAGATTTTATTCATTCCATAGCAAATGCTTATTAAAAACACTTTTAGGTTTTTGGTTATTTTAGTGGTGCTCTGTAAATCACTTGTGTTGGAAAACCAGTTACTTTTCCTATTTCTGAACCACTATGGACTGATACATTTAGGAGATTCAATAAAAATGAATTGCTAGAAAAATTATTCTGAACTTGAATATTCTTTCCCTTTCAAATCGGCATAGGATTCTCAGCAGGCATTCTTGAATTCTGCATTTATTGCCCTGTGAGGAGTGAAAAACTGGGCAACTTAGGGATGAGCACCAGGTCCAGGGACCATATTTTGAGTAATAATGTGTTTGAGTACATTCTGACCATGACTGGAGCTTCTGTCAGTATGGTTAAATGAATAAGAGATCGTTCAGCTTCTTTGGTCATTTCTGCAAGTACATCTGGGCTACTTCATCCTTGCTCTTCGTTACTCTCTGTCTTCCATTTTTATATTGTATACCTTTGGGTTAATTACATGTCCTTTTTTAAAATTTATTTGTTCTAATCAATTATACATGTTAGCAGAATGCCCTTAGATTCATTGCACACAATAGAGCACAGGTTTTCACTTCTCTGGTTATGCCTGAAGTAGGGTCACACTGTTCATGCAATCATACATGTACCTAGGGTAATGAAGTCCATGCCATTCCACCATCTTTCCTATCCCCATACCCCCTCCCCTTTCCCACTTCCCTTTCCCCTCTCCTTCGCACAATTCAAAGTTCCTCCACTCATCCCATGATTGAAATTAATCAAAGATGATTAAAAACCATTGTTTATATGTTTATTTCTATTCACATATATTGTTTTAGGAAATTCTACAATTCTTATTGTGATTTCAACCAGTATGTTTTCAACATAAATTTTGGTCAATATTCAAGAAAACGAAGACCTTGTGTTAGATTTATTTTCTTTGCATTATATTTCTATGAGCTGAGTGGATCTGTGCAACATCAAATCATAATTGTAGAATCATTATAAAGCATACTAACATAAAGTAAAACTGATGATTTACTAATTATCAATAAAGAGCTTTGCAAAAATTTTCATAATTATTTTTGTTAATCTTCAGAAGTTAAATTTTCATTTTTAAGACAAAGACTAAGAATGTTGTGTCAATTTCTCTATAGACTTCTAAAAAATCAAATATATTAAGTCAATATAAGTGATGCTATTTCGTTCAGAATCTACTTGAAGAATAGATGTATATAAATTCCATTAAATTCTGTGTTGTACCATCTACTATGCTTTTTTCCTTCCTTTCTTCTTTGGTTTCTTCCAGTTTCATGTTTTTTACAATGACAGATTCCCCCCCACCCACCCACTTTATTGTTGAAATAATTCTTTGGAAACTGGAAGATATGTTCTGAATGGAGAGTCTTATATTATTCCTTAATACTGAAGATTTTATCATCTCTATCTTGGGAAAAGAAGATTATTTCATCTCAAACTATTGACATAATTACTATATGGATAAGAACAAATAATTAGCATGGACTCTGTTCCTCTTACCAAAATTCATACTTGATCATGTGTGTGATGATCTTGTATGTGTTAGTTGGTTAGTTTCACCAAAGGTTTGTAACAGAAGTGGAATACATCTCTCTTCCTGAGGAAGTAAAAGACATTTTTATACTAGTCCTCTCTACCCCCCTGTTGTTCAAATAATACTGGGGCTCTGCTTGCTGGTGGGTGTAATTGAAAACCAAAATGATTTTCTCTGAAGATTTCCTAGGTCACTTTCCCAGTGCAGAAATTAGTAGCCCCTGTAGATTTACCATTCTGGCATGTGAACTTTTAAAGGAATGTTAGGGGTATCAATAACAGTCTCACTTTCCCTCTGTTTTTGGAAAATACAAGTACCCTAACAAAAAAGAGCTGCATTTGTTCTTTATATCAAGTATTTTCATTGTTAAATAATGATTCTATGAAGAAAAAAGGAAGACATTCTTCTCAGAAACGCTGCTTTATGTACTCAATTCACTCAGAACCATTTTGAATAAAATTATTTATAAACTCATGACCATAATTAAAATGTTGTTGTATGTATGATTTTTGCACTTTACATCAATGCCATCTAGACAAAATTTACCTTTTTTTCTAGAGTTACCTACTTTTCTAGTAGAAGAATCACTTTTGGCCTTGTGCCCACAGAATGCCTTATTTTCACCATAACTCCTCATTCTCCACATTTATATTGCTGATGTGTAGCCATCTTTAAATATACATGCACACACACACATACACACACACACATGCACACACACACACCACACATATACATTTTGTTCCTTTCACCCTTTCCTTTTTGTCCACACATTACAATTTTACAGAGATAATAATAACTACACATATTAGTGTCAAGTTATGTCCTTTTAAGATCCTTAATAGATTCTAACTGCCAAATAACCTGAGATAACTGTGATCATAACATAGTTTTTCTCTGAGATTGCCAGTACAAAGGAACATTTCTCATGAGCTATCACAGAAGTTGCAGACACCTTGTGTTAGAATACATTATCTATGTAAACACTCCCCTTTTGTGAACGTGTTCTCAATGTTATTCTGTCAAGTTATATTTTGTAAGCTTTTTGTAGCATATATCCAAAAATAAATGATAAAGGCCTTGTCTAATACTTGAGAAACAAAATATCCTTCTTCAGAACTCTTTAAAACTTACAGTAGGCACTACCATTATAACCTCATATTTCTGTGTCCATGTCCTAACCATTTTCTTGGAAGGGCTCTGTGCATGAACATTGTCAGCCATTTTGCAGAGGTTTTCTCTTTATCCTCATGCTAGGGAATCAGAAAACAAAATTATATAATCTTTTTCCAGTCAACATCTGTTTATACTATCACATTTTTTAGGTTGTAATTTGCTAGGTTGATGCAATGCAAATAACATTTTCATATTTTACATTCAACTTGTTCTTGGTATACACAGGTAGCATTTTTAAAATAAATGACTAAGTGAATGTCTTATAATTAGAATTTGATTTACTCTCCAGTGAATAAAAACAGGTATAAAATCAGAACAGGTATAAAATAAAAATAGTCATAAAAACAGATATTATTCTCTGTATATATGTATTACATTAGGAAAGCCATAGTTCTCAATAAAAGCAAATGTCTGTGCAGAAAAAAAAAATCTCATTTTATCCTGTTTTCACATACAATGCAAAGAAACTTCACTAGTTGAAGTGGAGGAATGTTTCTCTGCAGGCCATGAGCAGATGGATGAAGGCATGTCTGTTTTGAAGCCTCCCTGAGTCCTGACTCTCCTCTTCTCCAGAGACCCTTAGCTCTGACAAGTGACCTCCTTACCTTGTATTGGACATATTGATCCAGAAACTACCCACAAAACCTGCCCTGATTTCCTGCTTTCCAAACCACACAGGGCTGTGAAGTTGACCTCTAGTCTCTCCAGTGTGGAGG